AGGGGAAAGGACGTACTGTACGTGTTTTTGGCGCGTTGCGTGCGGGTGCGCGGAATAGCAACCGGTTTTAGATGCGCAGGCCCGCTTTCGTAATTGCGCGACGCATCCATCGCACGCTTTGGGGTCTTCCCTCGTTTCCTATTCTACCGGACGTTTTATTAGGAGACGGGCCGCTGTGGCTATGCATCAAAAGCGACCGACCGCACGTGCATCAACAAAAAAAATCATATAAAACTTGCAAATTTTATTAAAAAATGCAAAACATATCGATTTTTCGACGAAAATGGCCCGTTTCGGCCCGAAATGTCGGTTTTATGAAATTTTTAGATTGTTTCTCTAGTCGAAATATAGCAGTATTTTATTAAAACTAGTAAAAGGTTGCCTTTTCTTGCCAATTATTCCGGGCATTTCTAGACTTATAAAAAATAATACGGTCCCCCGGTCCGTAGAAATGCCCCGAGAAAGGGCTGAAACGCAGGCAGGACAAAACGCAGACAGTCAATTGAATAGGATTTCTGCCTATTCGGTGTCTGCATTTTAGCTTTCTGCGTCTTGTCTTGTCGGCGCTTTGGCTGTCTGTGTTTTAGCATTCTTGGTTTTGAATGTCTGCGTTTCGGCTGGAATTCAAATGCCCCATAGGAAAAAAGGGGTAGGCTAGCAGAGATCATTTGGGCAATCATGGAAGGGAAGGGTCATTTGGACGGGTAAATGCGAAAGATCCAAACAAAGAATCAGCCTGAAATACTACGGCCACCCCGACGAGTTGCAACACAAACCGTACCTCCCGCACACAGCGTCGTTCCGCTCTTCCATAAGTGCCGTGGATAACAACCAATCTTGATGGCACGTCTTGAAGTCGAGCCATCTTGAGGAATATTCGACCGATGGCGAGGAGAGGATAGGTAGGCAGAGATTTCCATCCAATTTCCGCCCAATCACATATTTCATTGTATTGATTCGCTTCCTCTCGTCTGAAAAATCCATTGCATTGCCACTAACGAGTTCTGATTGTAGCTCAACATCGTGTGCCATCCAAAAATGTCAAGCGAAAAACAATATCTAAAGGGCTAGTTCAACTTGAAAAATTTGGCCCAGAAACAGCCGAGAACGTGATTTCGAGGTGACAACAGGCAATTTCAAATTTTGCGAGCTTCCCGGCCCCTGGGCGTACAGAGGGCTCCGATTTTCGGGCCGTCACTCAATTTTTTGGCATTTCGTAGCCCCTTTAAATGGATGCCGACGGCATAGACAATCGGTTACGCGCGGAAAAGAAAATGTCTCTGCGCCTCTCCCCTGGGCGCGCTCTCTCCCCTGTTGGCTACTTGCCAATTTGTTGATGGGGGGGATCGACACATGCCGTCGGCAGCCCTTTAAAGGCGGTTTTCCACCTAGTAACCGGTGAGAGTCTAGGAAACCCCCAGCCCCTAATTTTCAGCCATACGCCGTATTAATGCGTGGAGTATATCAAAATGATCGCCATGGTCGAATTACTATAAAAAAAGTTGTTTCCTGACGCAGGAACGCGTAAGCGCCGGGTTCGACTATTTCCATCAACCAGCCATTGAAAGCCACGCGAAACGCAGGTTTTAGCAAAGATTACAAACCGTTTCTGCCGTAACTGCGCGAGCTCTCTCGCTTCAATTGGCGCGTCTCCATTACCACACGACATCACCAGATGGCGCCGTGTCAACCGTAAAAAACCTTAAAAGCCATTATCCCTTTGGTTAGAAAGTGCTTCTAGATTTTGAAGGAATTTTATGCCAAAAAAGGCCTATTGGGACCCGCGTCATAAAGATAGGATCAGCCCGAATTTTTGCTCAAAGATGATACATTCGGATTTCTTTTAAAATTTAAATGAAATGGTATTTAAAGGGGCTCGAAAGTGAAAATTCGTGCATGTGGGATTGAACCTACTGAACAAAAAACGATAGGGTTAATGCCGAGAAGTACCAAAAAATTGTTTTCCGTTGCGTCAAAACGTAACATATTGAAGCAAACCCGAAAAGTTCTGGAGGCGAAAACGAAAACGATGACGAAATTCGATGAGGATTCCAGCAATAGCGTCAGAATTTTTAACTTCAAGCGTTTTCACGTCCAAACAGCGGAAAAAAATCATGCGATGCGTTCGCGTTGCGGTCGCATCTGGCTAGTTGCCAGGAATCAACGCTCTGGGCCGTGAACTAGATTTCGGAACCCCTTTAATAAAAAAGTATAGGATGAGTAAATAATTCTTAACAAAATTAGATAAGAAGAAGAGTAATAAAGTAAAATCAGGTGAACCTGGCAGGCCTGGGAAAGGGCCGGCCCGGGCCGGCCCTAAACCCGAAATTTTGGGCCCCAGCCCGGCCCGGACCTACCGCCAAAATCTAGGCCCGGGCCGGCCCTACTTTCTGACCTTAACTAAAGCCATGCATCAGAGGAGTCCTGACACAGCTGAGAGTACGTTTTAATGTCTCAGGTCATGCCAAATGGCATTGCAGTTATTTCAGATTGTTTCCGGTAGAAAAAGCAAAAAGCAAAAAAATTGACCTCGGGCGGGGTCGAACCCGGGTCGTTTTCCTGGTAAGCGATTTTGATCAAAAATGCTTTTTTTTTGTTTAAGCTGTGTAGATAGATAGCGTAATCTCTATACCTGCGGAAAAAGTAAAGATTGGCTTTATATAACCACATTTGAATTGATTTCTAATTCGTTCAGGAAGGTCGGGCCGGCCCGGCCCGGCCCTACTTTCTCCATGGTCGGCCCCGGCCCGGCCCGGCCCTCCAAAACCGCCAAAATCTCGGCCCGGCTCGGGCCGGCCCTAAAAATTCCCAGGCCTGGAACCTGGTAGTATGGGTCGCTAGGACTCGACGGATTTTGGAGGGCAGAGGGCCCCCCCTCCTCGTATGGGCCTGTGCATGTATCATCGGTCAACTACCCCGCCAAAATGCGGGTCATTAGAATGCGGGAATTGGGTAAGGCACATGACCCCGCCGCGAATTTGAATAAAAAGAATCGACCAGATTCACTCAATGTTACCGTTAAAGGTTAGCAAGGTCATCAATTCGCAAATATTTCGATAACTGGATGCGCGGCTAAAATGTTTTATTCACCCCGCGAAATGGGATAATCATTGGAATCGGAATTACATGGCATAGGCATTTGGAATCTCACAAATTAGACAAACAAAAAACACTGGCGCGTGGAATAGTGCCAGAAAAGACACTCATTTGCTAAATTTAGGGGGGAATCGGATATGCAAACATTCAAACAATTCGAGAATTCACAAGATATAAACAAGTATCAATCTATTAGTGTCTCAGGGTAGAGCGGAAGTGGGGCATCAAAGAGGGCCCGACGACTACATTCCAACACAGTTTCAGCTAGGCGGAAGACGCCAGTGTCCCTGAAATACCGAAAATCAAGTTATGTCCGTGAAACGTTTTGCATTATATCTATCACACCCCCCGCTAATGCACTAGTTGCCTGCAAATCAACTAGAATTCGAAAATCGTCTAAAATCCCGAATACATGGGATGCTCGATCCCTCTGCGCATCCGCCTCCGCATCACGGCCACGAATTCACGATTCGACCGCTTGCCGTCCTAAATCGAGAAATTATTCCATGAAAAACGTCTCAATTACTACCATACCAGCCGATTACAGCCGCTTCGCGACTGTAATCGGCTGGACTTCGGGCTACCCTCCATATTCTACACCACCACATTTCATCCCTACCTTACGCTGATGCCTTCATGGCAATACCTACACTGATGGCTTCAGATACCTCCTCTAGCCACCCCCCACAAAAACAAGCTACCTTCCCAATGGCTTCAGATCCCTCCCCTAGCCGAAATCCCCTTAAAACCTTTTTTCTGAACAAAAAAAAACCCACTTTTTTTTCTGTTGACCCTGGTGGGGATAGTAATCAAATATAAGGTATATTTTCACATTGTTTTTAGCAAATTTTAAGTAAAATTAATTGCAACGTCTCTAAAATTGGGCCAATTGCAAACCTGTATTTGGGTTACAAGGCTATTTTGATTTTGAGCCGCTAGAAGTGGCGAGAGAGAGAGAGTGAGAGAGAGAGAGAGAGAGCGAGAAAGAGAGAGGAGAGAGTGAGAGAGAGGCAAAACCTTAAAGGGGGCTCGGAAGTCAAAATTAGCGCGTGCGAGACTTGAACCTCCTCGTCAAAAAACGACAGGGTTACTGCCGAGAAGTACCAGAAAAATGATTTTATTGCAAAAAGGGGGTACTTTAGTATTCCCGGGGCGGGGAAGGGGATTAGGCGCTTTTGACACCCACCCGAAAATTCTCATCGGCTAGCTCGCACATCCGTTGATTGATTTTATACGGAGCGAAAAGCATTGGAAAACCTAAGAGCCTCTTATAATTGTTTTGTATTAAAATTCGCGTGTTGCGCAAAATTCATGGTCCCAAGGAATCTTCGAATCTCCTAGCTTGGCGATTTTACCCGGAATCACGATCCGATTCTCCTTTGTAAAACCAAAAGTCGGGATGGGGGGTAAAGTTTATGGCGACATAACGGTTACACCCAAAATACACATACACAAGCAGGGGCGTAGCCAGAAAAAAATTTCGGGAGGGGCCCCGAAAAATTTTTTTCGAAAAACTCAAAAATTAACGAGAAAACAGCGCCGCAGGCGAAAATTTTTGGAAAAAAAGGCTATATAGCTCTACAAATAGCAGTAAAAACGTGAAAAAATAGCGCCGCAGGCAGCAAAATTTTTGAGAAAATAAAAATCATAAGGTCCCCATATGAAATTTTCGGGCCCGGCCGATTTCGGGGGGGGCCCCGGGCCCAGGGGGCCCACCTTACGCTACGTCCCTGTACACAAGGCACAGAACTTTACAGGGGAACTGCCGAAAATACATAGTGGGAATATACAAACGCGAATTTTCAGAGGGGTAAGTTACAAAGTTACAACGTGAAATGCCACAAATGCATATATGTTACTACAATGAGGGTTCGTATGATACAAATAGGGATGGTCGGGGATCAGATGGGCTGCAAGGAGATGGCGTGGTCGTTCACCCGCTCGAGTCCTCGTCTTCCACAGTTGGGATTGGCCTGAAAAAAAGTTAGATTAGTAAGGGACCAGCGGAACAGTGGAATTTTGGGTTCTTTCGCATTATCGGTGGGGGGTTAACAGCTTTTGTATTAATCTAGAAATAGCTAGTAACTTAATAAGAACTTTTCAAAAGGTCAAAATTTTGGTCAAAAACCACCATTTTGAGTCGAAAATAATCAATTTTCAGTTGTTTTTGAAAAAATGTGTAATTTTTATATGTAAAAATCTGTTCCTAAGAAAAAGTTGACCCCCAATAATGCGAAAGCACCATGGAATTTTGTAAGAAAAGCAAAAACTCACGGAAGAACATCGTGGAGCGCCGGTTGAGGCATTGGCGAGCGCTGGATACCGCCAGACGAGGGCCCGGCTGAGGGTTCGGAATCGCGCGTGAGCGGCCTAAACGGGCAGTTAGAAAGACCCGAAGCAACGAAAAGCTTACGGCAAATGTGTGGAAGGCCGACGGTCGATCTGTGGAGTCGGTGGAAAGCCATCGGTTGATGGGTTGTTGCCCAATCTCGGAGGACTAAAACGAGCATCGACTCGGATCAAAAAAAAACGCACAAATCAAGGACAGAAGGGGTCAGAGTCGCCTTCTGATACAACGCGGCAGCTCGCTTTCCGGAAGGACGGGGCGGCGACGCTTGACTCCTCGAAGGACCGGGCTGGTGCGCTTGACTGCTGGAAGGTCCAACTTATGGCACCTCACTCCTCGAAGGCCCGGGCTGTGGCGACACACGCCCACCAAGAGCCACACTTTCATCGTTAACGCTAAAGCAACCATCTGGGAGCACATTAACACATACTTGTACGCGACCGGTTGCTGTTGGATGGGAGTTTGCGGTGGTGGAGGAGGAATCCTGGGGGCAGGTGCGACACGGCTGTAGCAGGCCGCCAAACGGCTCCAAAGCAAAAACGCGAAAACGCCAATGGCGAAGAAATATACCGTTTCCGGTTCTTGTGGCGCTGATGCAGCAGCAGCGTTGCTAACACTAGCACTGGGCGTAGTATTGGCGCTGCCGGTGGCGCCGCTGTCATTGCGCTGCGCCGCATTGTCGTTGTTGCTGACGTCTTCCACGCGACCAGACGACCAGAACCCGCCGCGACCGCCGCCGCCCCATCGTTCTCCTTGTTTGCTGATCCTTGGGGGCTCGGATGCCTAAATCGGAACCAGGTGAATTCGGAAACTCTTCGAGTACCTTCTTCTTCGCAATTTCCTTCTGGTTAAACGTCACCATTTGGCAAGTTTCCGGCTGGCCCAGGTTGCGGTCTCTAAAGAAAATAAGTAGCAGAAAAAAATGGCTGTCTCACTTTGCCCAGAGTTTGCCGTCCCAATCCACGGACTGCCGACGATCTTGTGCCATGTCATACAATTGCTCGCAGGCGAAAAGGTCTGGTGAACGACTAAAACAAGAAGTTAAAAATCATAATCAACGAAGAGAGAGCATAAAAAATAAAGTCCTAAACCTACTTAATTGGGTCGAACTCGTTCAACAAGTCCATCACATAGGAAATTGCCCGGTGACCACAGCTCCAATCGTCCTCTTGCCGTTCGATGTTCAGAACATAGTGGGCGTTGAGAGTGGGTGTTGTTGGGCCGTTGGAGAGGTGCGAGCAGAAGGCCATCACTTGTTCCATCCACCGAGGAAGTGACCTAACAAAAATTCAAAGTAAAACAGATTCGTGTACCTGGGCGCCAGAGCAATCCTCGACGCTTGTGACAAGTGGATCGTAGATGCGCACCTTGCACACGTCATCATCTTTGCGGATTCGAACCTAGGCAAAATATAGCAGGGCACAATGACAAAATCAGAACACAAACGGCTTTGCCTGCAGCCAAATAACGGTCAAAAAAATGGTAGATAAAACCAACCACAATGTAATGTTCCCGGACGGCGCAGCGAGGTGGTTTGGACAATCTCTTCGCTGATCGCATTCCATGCCTTCAGGGTCGACCAGTATTCCGTCATTGGCCAGAGGCCGCCGACTAGGCGCTGCTCGCCGCGGTACGCAAACCGGACCCGCTCCGCGGATGTCGACAGTACCGTCTCCAGCGAGCTTCTGCCTTCTCACACAAAAGAAAAGTTGAGGTTACGTGGAAAAGGGGGGAGAAGTTACGATTAATAATACTGACCGTTGGGCGAGAAGATGGGCTCGGGGCGACGTCCAAGCGCTCCCACACGCAGGCCATTTTACCTGGAAATCAGAGAATTGGAAAAAGAAACGGAAGAAAAAACAAAGAATCGGAGTCGAAGGGACCGGACAAAAAAAAACGGAAAACCCGAAGCTCGAAAATCGGAATTCGTTGTGGCCGGGGCGATACCGTGGGACCGGCGCGGCCCTCCTGTCCACTGGATAGAAAACAACCGACGAGAGAGTGGGCAGATTGAAGGAGGGCCGGCGATAAACCGAGGTTTTTTGTTTTTTGTAGAAGACAGGTCAAATTAAAATTCAAAATTCAGACAACAGTTTAAGCTGTAAAGAAGGGCCTATTTGGCA